TCGAATGCGTAATCTATTAATTGTTCTCCTCTTTTATTTCTTTTACCGTAACAGTATTCACCTAAAATCATACTTTCTTCGCCTTTGCATTTTATAGATTATAAAGCTAGGTAATAATTAAGCTAGTAAAGTAAATAGAATTTGGATGAAATTAATGTTTTTTTTTTTAATTAAGTAATGTAATTTATTACGACAATATTTTTAAGTACTAGAACTACGTAATCATTTTTTAATTACTTTCACCTGTTTTAAAGATTATTTTGGGGGAACGCAACTGTCGACCCTTTTTGAATAAAGCAGGTGCGATGGCATATGTTTGTTCCTGCACACCCCCCTAATGTAACAGGTTGATTGTAATTCAAAACCATAACAATAAAACGAAAGCAACATATGGACATCTCACTTAACATTATTTAAAGACAGAGATAGAGAAACAATTGTTTTGTTTGCAACAATATTGTATTTAAGGCCTGTCCCACTACTGGCTGATAAAGTCTCAGATAGCTTAAAAATTATGCCACTGTCATATAAAGGAACATCACATATTTTCACGTTGGATTGTTATCAGACAATCTACAATTTGGTGGAAAGGCCCTTACTGTTTGTAACTGTACCATTTGTACAATTACTGTTAGCCGTAACAATTAGAAGGCATCGAACCAGTTTTGTGACGTCATCGACACGTTTAATTACCTATTGATAAACAAATGATAAGCGATTCAAATACACGACAAAACACAATGTAAACTCAAGTATTCATCGAAGCGAAACAAAACCTATAGCAATGCAAAGTATTTTAAAACTAGCCTTTTCCGTGCGGCTTCATCCGCATAGAATAATAACAACATTATCTTATTGTTTACATTTGTCAAATTCTCAATTACAAATGTCAAAATTACCGTGACCATAACAATCTTGCTTCCTTAATGTTGGCAGCTTATAGGTTATGGTCCCTTTCCCACATGGTTTTTTCAAATTTGTTTACCCCCTGAGTTAAAAGCGTGGAAATAAATAGCTTAAAGCGTGTCGTAAGTATAGGGCTTTTATTTAAGAAAGATTTATTTAAAAATATGCTGTGATTGCTGACATCCTGCGCCACAAAGAGTATTTACGCTTTATTATATTAGTATATCTATCTCTTTCTATTTCAGATTTGATGTAATGCTGTGATCATGTGTAGCCTGAATGGTTCAAGTTAGAGTGGTCGGATTATGTGATGCACAACAATGGGTGACAACGAGGGACCTGTTACGGTGGACGACCTGCCGATTACGTTTCAAGTAAGTTACTACAGTTTTGGGATTGTATTCATAGTCGCTACCAATAAAATAATGTACATAGGCCACTTTTCTTTCATATTATTACAGTTAGAGCGCATAATTCACATTATTAAGTGACTCATAGAGCACAATTAGGGTTAATTAATGATTAAAAGAGCTAGCAGTGATGTCACTTAATAAAATGTAGTTCGCCTTATTTATATATGAGAATTAAATTTAAATTGTAAGTGATCTGTAGTTCTCGTACACAAAGATTACCTTTTACATATAACACAATATTCTTTTAAACGTAATCTATTAAAAGATTTGAACAGGGTGTACATTCATATAAGCGTCGGTGGCTCAGTAGTTTAAGCTCTTGACTTGTAATCTACAGGTTTTGGGTTCGAATCCCGCCGTGTATCAATGTGATTTTCGATTTTTCGAATTTTCATATGTCCATAATTTACCCGACGTTTTAACGGTGAAGGAAAACATCGCGATGCCTGCACATATCGCGAAGCGAAGAAATTCAAAGATATGTGTGAAGTCAACCCGCAGTGCAGCGTGGTTGACTATGGCCTAGGCACCCTCACTTAGGGTAGGCTCCGAGCCCCTCGGTGGGGACGTATAGTGAGCTGGTGATAATGATGATGATGATGTACATTCATAGTAACTGCCCACCCCTTGACGTGTATGTCGTGTGACACAAAACAATGCAGATTGCACAATAAATAACCTCGATGCGATAACATCAAAATATCGTGGGATTAATTTTAAATTAAACGGAATAATTTTGCTCGAATGAAGTATTGTTATTTTTCTGTAATTATAAACAACGAACAGCTTGTACAAAACCACCAAGGCTATATTTTAAAGCTTCAGATATTACGCATTTATAATACACTAGCTTTCGCACGCGATACCCTCCGCGTGAAATAAAAAAAAAACAAATGTGAGTAGCCTATGTATTCTTCCACACTACCCTCTACATCTATACCAAATTTCATCGAAATCCGTATAGCCGTTTAAGCTACAAACTCTAACAAACATCCACCATCTAAACTTTTGCATTTGTAATATTAACTAGTATGAATGTAGATTTAACAATGAGGCTGCAAACATTCGCATACAAATTGTGATTCAGTAATTTAGCAGTCGGTTCCGCTCTGCTCACTCCGATCTGTGCGATAGTCGTGATGGCCCCATCCATCCCCACCAACCATGTCTATGAGTTAAGGCAATTACTCTCATATTCAAGGTCTCACTATGAAACCAATCCGAATATTGTTACTAAGCTTCCTACAAACTAATGTCACAAACGATTCCGTTGCGTCAATAATTGTTATAACTTGCAAGTTAAGATAATCAAGTGTTAAGCAGAGGTCAATAACTTATATTATTCATTTTATTCAAATTTTAATTACGTCACATTTTTTTCACAAAAACCTCCACAATATATAGTCGCAGCTATATGTATCCGTTAATTGGAGCAGATCCGAGGCAACGGAAGTGACGTCACAGCGCGCCGCGCCGCCGCAACTTAACTGGCCAACTGTTTGTCGACTAACTGCTTTAATATTCAATCCTTGAGATCGATATTTTGGTTAAAGAAAGAATAGACCAAGAGCCAGTATTGATTTGTATGGCTTTCATTTGAATCCCTTAAGTCGTATTATAAAGCGATCATGTCTGGAACATTATTCAACCGCATGAAATTATAAAAACTTTATTTTATTATTAACATTTGTTACATTCTCAATTGCAAATGTCAAATTACCGTTACCTGGCTTGCTTCCTTAACGTTGGCAGCTTGTAGTTTATGGTCCCTTCCCACATGATAGTTTCTTTTCAAATTTATTTACCCCCTAAGTTGAATAGCGCGAAAATATATAACCTAAAGCGCGTCGTAAGTGCAGGGATTTTTATTTAAGATAAAATTATTCAAAAATATGCTGTGATTGCTGACATCTTACTCCACAAAGCAGTGTGTGTTTACGCTTTATTATATTGGTATACATATAGATTATTAGAGTGTTATATTATGTTATGTACGAACTCGCAGAGAAAGTGTCCCGGAAGTGCGACAAAAGAAGTCATGAAAGTGACGCGTCATGTCACTAGTCACTGTATGGTCATGCATTGCACAATATCGCTATGCTTATGACATGCTAATGTCATAACTTAGTTATTACTTAAGTGCAGTGTTTGTATACGAAAAGATTCCAGCTAAGTTTTTTTGTACAAATGTCTCGTTATATAGTCTGTGGAAATTCAAGGTTGTAATATTTTTTCATCAATAGAGTTTGACTAATGTAATAAATGTAAGTATAGATGGACGTTCGATAGACTTTGTAGCCTAAACTTCTGAACAAATATCTATTAAATTTGTCAAAGATGTACAGGATAGTGTGTAAGAACACACACTAATATGGTACTTTTTAAATTCCACGTAGTCGGAGTTGCGGGCGAAAGCTAGCATGAAAATAATTACACTGATATCATTACTAAACATACGAAAACCATGAAGTGTTAAGAATGAACGTGGATGGCTACAAATGAAGAGGAAGACCGAAGAAAGTATGGATGGAATGTGTGAAAGAGGATATGCTTAAGAAAGGAGTGGATTCAGATATGACGGCTGACAGAGATGTATGGAAGAGCACATACAGTGCTGACCCTCCGTAAGGGATAAGGGCCAGTTGATGATGATGATCATTGCTAGACACTAACGAAGAGTCGTAATTTGGAACATTAGGTAATTGTTGTTAACAAAATGTTATCGGAGTTTGCACTAGAATTGCGTCTGAAAGAATGTCAATGATCGATAAGAACATTTGAAAGTATTTATGTCGTCAAACTCAGGAATACAATATGAATTATACAGAAGCAGTTTGAATATTTTTCTTACCAAATTCTTGTAATTTGCAGGTGAAGTATTTGGGTCAGAGCGACGCGCGCGGGCTGTGGGGCATCAAGCACACACGTAAACCTGTGGATCTGATGGTCGCTGCCGCTAAGGCCTTACCACCAGGTAACTTTAAGGATAATTATAGGAGGTTAAAGGACACACTCATTTGTTACCTTATTGAAGGAAAAGGAAGTAAACATTAATTCATTTTTTATACAGCTATATGCCGCCCTGTCGTAAGCTGATGTATTTATTAGTCAAGCACCTGGGGTACTGGTGTATATTTATTTCCTAAGTATTAGTAAAAGCTTAAACCTAAATTCATATCTAAATGTTATATCTAAATCACAGTATATCCTATCACAGTTTTTTTAATCCTAATTTAAAACAATAAAATATCGATAAAGATTAATTTATGATTTGACTGCAAATTTCAGGTCAAATCCTGCCGATGGTGAAGCTGATGATCACAGTAGACGGGGTGCACGTGGAGACGGCGCGGCTGGCGGGCAAGCGCGATGAGTTCGAGCACATGGCGGTCTTCTTCAACATTGAGTCCATCTCCTACGGCGTCCAGGACCTCGTGTACACGCGCGTCTTCTCCATGATCGTCGTCAAGGATAACGCGGATCTCAAAGGATTGAACCCATTCGAGTGCCACGCCTTCGTCTGTGAATCTAGGTACAAAAAAGTAAACTTATAAACGCTTTTTACTAACTAAAGAAATTATCGCTAAGAATGTAAGACGGGTTTAATGAACAGATCAGAAATTATATTCTTCTTCTACATAAGTGCAAACCCCTTTTCTGGTTTATTTTTTTTAACACAATAGTATAATAGAGGAAAGATTAGTATTTTTGTATGTATTGAAATAACTCAAAAATTCTTTAGCTACAAAAAAGCAACGTTATCAGCGAGTAACATTGGCTATGTTTTTTTTATTATTTTTTTTATTTCACACAGGCGAAGTGAAGAAACTAAATTGAAGTGGCCGTCAGATATGTTGACCGTTACATAGTACTACATACACATTGTCTTCGTTCTCAGATCTTATCTGCTCTCGAGTTATATTTGATAAATACATCGCAAATAACTTACTATCTCCTGAAGACGCATCACTTGACATCTAACATGTTCCACTTTTAACATTTCTCACGGCTCACATCCTGCTTGTAAATAAACTTTACAAGATACAAATCTGTGTCAGATAAGGAAAATATTTAGAATTCTATTGCCTCATACCCTTTTCGATTTGTTTCCATATATTCTAGAGATTTCTACAGTTTTTACTTGTAATTCAGAAACGCAGCGAGACGGCTGACGTATTCGCTCGCAGCCGCGTTTCAAGATTACTCCAGAAGAGTTAAGGAAATGCAAACAGCACCAGGTAAGCTCATGTCTATATAAACCGCATATTAATTATTTTAAATACCCAACAATTATTTTTACACGTTTAAAATAAAAAAAAGAATGCGTCAATATTCTTCCTGTTAAAACATACTTTACAAGACATAAATTAGCGCCACAAGCATGCTCTGCAGGGCTCCAGCGAGGGGCCGCCGGCGTGCGAGATACGCCGCAGCCCTTCAGATGAACTGAGGGGGCTATGCGCGACGGGTCGGGGGACCCGTCGCGCCGAATATGGCGGATGTGCCGTGCCCCCTCTTGTGTTCCGAGGGGGCCATCATCGTAGGGTGATGGGAAGGGTTTAACATCTGACCCCTCCCTACACGTGTGGAGCCCCTAACAAGGGACTCCCCCAAGCCGGGCCGTGGATAAACTAACATAGATGCCACGGCCCGGTTGGGCGAAGGAGAACACCGCGGGGTTTAGTGGGTAGTCCGGCCGGGATTAAGGCCGGGAGTCCCACACGAAACTGTCCCTGCTGCCTCCGCAGCATGGACGGTGAAGTGCGTAAATGCATTCCCCGCGACAACAAAAAAAAAAGCGTCATAAGCATTATTTTTCTAACTAAAGCTGTAAACACTGGTACTGTTATGACCCTATAATGGCGCACACCTTTGACAAAACTATCGCATAACTTTTTTTCAATGAGCTTATATGGATTTTGAGTTGTGCAACTAAACAGTTGAAGGCTGAAAGACAATCGAAAATCGCACAACTGTGTGTTTTTGTTTCCAAATCAACTTTGATATTAAAAATGTATTCCAGATCAAGAAGACAAGCCACCGAGCCTTAAGAAGAGGTTTGCTATCGACCTGCGCACGCCAGAGGAGATAGAGGCAGACTTCGAGACTGAGGCTTGACCAAAGATTACCTAATACTTGAGTTGGCACGTCGGGTCAATTGCTACTCCTAATACTGACGTGCCAACTCATTGTACCTTTTCGAGTATTGAACTGAAGCAGTAAATAATCTATTGAAGCATAAAGTGTACACGTTTTTAGTTATTTTGTATAGATATTAGTATACGCAAGTTAGGTGACTATCATGAATCATGAGTGAGTATTGTTTTTGATAAATGCAATTTACCATACTTTTTGTAGATATAAGGGCTATGAAATTCTTATTTATTCCGTTAATGTCTTATTTAAACGGAAAACATTTTATTCAAAACTTTAAATAAGTATACAATAATTACACAAGTTAATTATTAGACTATGAGAGCTCTAAATAATATGAGGCTGTTAAAATCCTGCCAAAAAATAGTTTGAAGGTCATATTTATACTGACCAGAGACAAAGTGCCACACTTAGCAATGCCTTAGTGGTCATTTAACGTGTAAATGTGGCAGTAAATGTATTATTTTTGATAATATCGTAAACCAAAGGTATCCCTCGTGTGTAATTATTAATAATTTTAACATAAGTTTAAATTCAATACGTAAGATTGTATTTTGCTTGCGGGTGCTTTATAAAGTTTTATTTAGGGCTCCCACAACTGGCTGATAGAGGCTCAGATAGCTTAACAATGTCACTGTCAGATAATGTTCCATTGTTATAGATAATTTACAATTTGGTGGGACAGGCTGTAACCCTTGTTAAAACCTTCTTTTATGTAATAACAATTTATTTGACAGACTTTTCTAAAATTTACATTTATAAAAGTTTTACTACCACCACGTATTATAAACATGTTTCCATTAAAATGTCTTGAAAAATGCTAAAACAGGTAATGTGGCGGGGGGTGTGGGGCGAGCGTTACATGGACGAACACCGCTTACATAAATGTTCCAACTTAGGTGAGGCGCATTTATGTATGGCGAGTTAATGCTTTTCCGAGGACCCTTGAGTGTTCAAGCAATGGTTGAAGCACCAAGAGTGCCTAGCGTAAGCACACCACGAATAACCAAGCACCCCTCAAGCTCGTCACGGCGGCCGAGGTCACGAAACCATCTATTTACATTGATAGTGGCATGTAAGTGAACCACGGCGCCATCTAGTGACAAGCTGCGTAATTGTTCAGTTGCATGAATGCATTAAGGCGCCGCATGCACGATTTTACTACTCGGCATACGATGGCGCGAGTAATCTTATTTTATCTTGTTACAGTAATTTATTTTTCTTTATTTAACTTAATTAAACATAAATTATTGTAAATAGCGTGTAATAACCGCATAATTTATTCTATATAAGCTTGTATTTATTGGTTGAATTATTTATGGGCGCTATTATTATTAATTTAATAATTGTAGTTTTGTGAAATTTGTGATACTATTAAATTTTAATGAAAAAATGGTTTTTTATTTCTATTTTATTCCGTTTTACAAATAGTAATATTATCTATGATTTGTCTACAAAAAAACTTTATCAGCTTTCCGATTTTTTTATTTCTTCCAACAATCTCAAAACAAAAATGAAATCCTCTCTTGTTCTCTCTACTTCTGCTCTATGGTTCTGTACGAAGATTATAAAGTTGTCTTCTAGACCTTTCCTAGCACCGTCCTCTATCACACTGAACAATTTAGAAGCAGCAAGATGAAGAAGTAAACTGAGTGATACATCTCTATTAACCGGAGATAGATATAAATTCTTCAAATCGTAAAACCAATTTTGTTTCTTATATTTCGTGATAGTTGCTATTTCTTTGATTGTCTCGTGAAGCTGGAAATATAAAAAAATAGAATTTATTTTTTTTAAATAGAGCACACGTTTGGTTCTTGTAATATTTTGAAAATGAAGTATTCGTCTACAGAATTATTTTTTAGGTATCACCCTAAATCCAATAATCTTTGAAGGTTTTTAGAGATAAGAGGGAATAAATTATAGTGCAAATAATATTAATATAGAAAGAAAGAGAGGAAATAATGTAATAGAAATATAAACTATGAAAACTCAAAGCCCTAAAGTAAGTCAAAGGTAAGGAGCAAAAGGTTAGAATGGTATGGGCATGTTATGAGAAGGGATGAATGGCATGTAACAAGAAGCACGTTAGTCATGAGTGTGAGGGGTAAACCGGTAGAGATAGACCTAGAAAGAGATGGATGGATTGCGTGAAAGGTGACATGATCAAGAAGGGAGTGATGACTGAAATGACGGATGATAGAATTATGTTGAGGACAAAAAGCTGTTGCGCCACTACTGAAGTAGGTTAAGGAGGAACATGATGAAAGCTCGAAGTCCTGAAAGATTTACTTTCGTCTACTTGATTATTACTATAGTACTGTTATTTAATTAGATTTCTTATACCTTGTTTAAACTTGACTGTAGATCTAACAGGAAATTCTCGAATTCTAATAAAGCGGTACCACTCATCGTCACACTCATTTCTTGGATTTCTTTAATATCTTCGTATATTTTTTGCAATGTTTTCACTGTCGGGTCTATGTCACCTCCTACAGTCTTACTGACCGCACTCGCTGTGGAGTTTGCAATTTCATCTTCGTTATTTTTACTTCTTTTAGTATATGTTCCATCTCCATCATTTATAATTTTGTTAGAATTTTGAAATACAAATAAGATATATTTAAGAAGTTCAAAATCTGAATAATGTAATTGTTCCTGCGCTTGTAAAGCATTACTGAAAATTGAAAAAAAAAATGTTAATTGTATTATAAATTCTCTATAAAGACGAGTTTATGTAAATTATATAATACTATAAATATATTACGTTAACTGCAGTAACTTGTCGATAGCGGACTGTACGTCAACAGTGCTGCCCAGCCACTGATACTGCCGTAGCTCCTTGTTGTCGTGCTCTACCATGTCTTTCATTACATTCACATAAGAATTCAAATACATCTCGAATTTGTCAGGCTCAGGTTTCTTTACATTCCTAAATATGATATTGACGTTATTGCCATCCTTCACTGCTAGATCTATTTTCAATATATTATCCGGATTAAGTGGAATTTGTATACGTTTTTCATCAATAACTTTTTCTTTATCCAATGTACGTGTATTTTTTAGCTTGCCTTTATCGACTGTTGTAGGTCGTTTATCAGGAATAGGTTTATATGTGTCGTTGGTATCACTTAAAGGTTGTTCTTCTGAATTCATTCTGCTAAAATAATAATCTACAGCGATGTTTTTATCATCTTGTGCTCCCCGACCTTGCCCGCCTTTACCTCCGGGCAGGAAAATAAAAAATGTGTCATCCAGACCTCTCAATACTGGATCAAATTTTTGTTTCCATTTTAAAAATCTTGCTTTTAAATAATTCTTATTAATAACATCAGATGTTTTAGGGTTTTCACTATATTTATGTTTGTATAATGCGTTGCGTAGGGCAGCAATGTTATCTTTTATATTGTAATGCTCTAAACTTGCATCCGGATCAATAACGTCTTCTGATTTACCTTGTCGTAATTTTTGAGAGAAAAAGCTTTGTGATGTTTCGTGAGCATTGTCCTCATCAGAATCATATACGTCATTTCTGCCTAGATAATACTCCAAATCTAGATAATCATTAGGATTGAAACTAATGTCTGAAAATCCATCTTTCCATGCCGGTGATAAATGATTTTGGTAAGTAGCACTTCGGGGCTTGAAATTCCCATTTTTGCTATCGTAGAATTTGAAATTTCTATTATTTTTTAATGTACTTTTACTTTGTTTTTTCGCTTTATTTTTTATATAGTCTGGTATGAAATTTTGCTTGTTTAATTTTTTATATACTCTATTACCGTTAGTGTTTATTTCACTGGTTTTGTCATTATCTCTGTAATTGGGTCCGAAATAATTATATCCTGTGTAAAATGCATTGCTCGGGTCATAATTGTAAACAGGCACGTAATGCGGTTCCTCCACTAATTCAGAATTTGCCTGCTCTGATGGTATAAAAGGAGAATTTTGGTTAGCTGAAAATAAATGTTGAAGAGGTAAGTTATATATCGTACTAAATTGTAGAAGATAGTTCAAATTCATCATATAGTGGGTATAAACCACGCCTTTTGTTTCATTTGTTTTTCCAGACAACGTTCTTTGTTGTTGACAATGTTCAATATTTGTTGAGTACTTCTGGAGATACCTTCTGACAGACTAATCCATCCATTCATCTTAACTTTTAAGATAGAAATATGAGTAATACTTACAAATTTCGAAAACATGATAATGGCTTTTATAATTTTCTGTAGTCGCTGCCAAATTATTTGGATATTTGGCAGTAAATGTATAATCAATATTTTCTTTATCTCGAGTTCCAAATCTTAAGGTCTTCTTGACACTACTACGATTTTCTTTGCTATTTCCGCTTTTTTGTGCAATATTTTCTGTCGTAATATAGCCGTTAGATGAGTTATCCTTTGAAATGTTACTTGTAGTCAAAACTATTTCATCACCATCTTTATTTATATTATCACTGCTAGTAATCACTCGGAGTTCTTCTTTTTTATAAACATTGTCCTCTATTTTCTCTGTTACTCTCATACTATCATTTTCTACGTTTGGTTCACTTGAGTTCACATCGTTTCTTAATATCGGACGAAAAGGATATGTCGTAGATCTTTGGGATTCCTTTAACGTGTCATTCGTGATACCAGGACTATTATTTTCCTTATAGTCTTTAGGCGTTGTACTTATAATGCGTTTAGTATTTTTAACATCCAACAAAAACTTACCATTAGATAAATCTAAAATGTTACCTGTAGAACCTGACATCAAAGTTTTACTATTGCTCTGTACAGTTATACCTTTCGATGAAGAGATTATTTTTGATTTTTTAGGTTTTTCTTCAGGTTCAAAATCATTAATCAAGGTTCTCGGTACATCATTAGTTGCTTCCGTCCTAGTGTCATCATAGTCGACGTAAGAATTGCGTATATTTTCTGGATTATGAACATCTATTGCTTCTTTGGTCTTGTCGTCATTTTTATATTGCAAATCTGTTTTTCCATTATCATTTTCAAAGGATTCAGAATTTTCACTTTTTTCTGATCTCTTACTCAGCCCTTCAACTTTTAAATGATTCTCGACTGGGTGATCGCTTACTGATTCGTCATTCTCAAAGACATTTTTAACTGTAACCGTATTGCCTAAATTAATCTCTTCATCGTATAATAGAGGAACTGGTATTTTTGTACCTTCCGAGTTTAACCTTCTACTTTCGATTGATGTTTGTTTGACTTCTTCATTTGTGTCTTTTTTTATTCTTATATTATTTTTTACAGATGAATCTGTATCATCTCGTCCAAGTACATTTTCTCTCTCTACAGTTTTTCCTTTAGATTCACTGGCGTCCTCATTTTCGACATCATCTCCTTTTCTCTGGCTACCTAATCTCCTCTTGTGTTTAAATTTTTCTGTTTCTTCTTCCATAATTCTTTGAACATAAGCATCATGTTCGTCCAGTCTCTCGTCGGATATTTCAATACTAGTACCATCAGAACGGTTTTTTCCTTTAATTTCTGCCAAAATTCTCTGAGCTATTTTATTAAGAAATTCCTGTTTTTCCTCCTCGGGTAACAAATCTATATATTTTGCTTCGGCACTATCTGTTTCTTTAGATTTAATTATGTTAACACAAGTCAAGAGTAAAAACAACACTTGTACATACATTGTTTTGACTAGAAATTAAGTCATCCTCATAAATTGCAACGCATTCTCCATACCAGTGTCTGGAGAAATAATTGTTTTAATCGAAATTCGTATATCAGTTTGAAGTCAACCATATGAATTGTTATTAACTACACTGATAAGGAAACTAAATTTATTTTCTAGATAGCGATGCATGTTTGTGTACATTTACTTAAAAAAACGGTAATGACATTGAAACATGTGATCATAAGTTGGATATATTCCACCAATGAGGAAAGGAATATTGTTTTTCTTAACATCTCCTTTAATATTTGTAAGAACTTTGTTTAAATTAGGCATTATTAAAAGTACAACGTACTTCTAACATTACTGTACTGTACTTTGTGGATGACTAAACTTTAGATTCTATATCCTGGTGGATTTTTTAGGTAGAACATCAATGTAATCGTTTTATAGTTCTCTTGTTTTGGGGATTTTGTACAAATAATACACATTAATTAAAAATCTCATTTTTTATTTTTTTATAAACGCCTATTTACAAGTGAGTCGTACGCTTCTAATCCTACTATGCACATTTCATATCAATATCTCGAGGAATGCTTTAATCTTATCTTACTGTGATTAATTTGCTACAATTATAAAGGATATGATAATTACACATAGAACACTTCTAACAGAAGAAATCGGGGAAATTGTCTACTTCTTCAAAATAAACTAATCACAGTAGAATATAATTCACACTTAATTTCTATATTACAATCTTGTTTTATCACAAAGTCGATTTAAACCTATACGATCCTCTATACATTTTACGACCGGTCCTTTTCAAACTTCTCTCCGCAGCTATTCTAGAATTATCAAACTCTGGCACAGATGCGTCCTCGTCTTCTTTGTTCAGTTCTTCGACGGTGGGCACGACTTCCTCCATCACTACGGGCATCACTGGCTCGGCGTTCATCTCTTCTATTTTCCTCAGTATTACTTCAGGTAGTGCGACGGATTCTTCATTGACTGACTCCATGTTATTGTGGCTCTCATCACTATTCGCTAGTTCTTCGTTTCTGTAATGTACCAGTTCTTTTATATTATCCTTTATTTCCTGCAACTTTTCTTTGTCATTTTCCTTAATATTATCAGTAATCTTTACTATTTCCCTCTCGATCCCTTTTACTTCTTCTTTTAGATCCTGAACGTTTTGACTCACAGTGCCAAAATCTTTGTTTATTGTTTGTAGCGTATTGTAATTGTAATATTTTACTTCTTCGTTTACCGCGTCCATGATTTTGCTGTCGTATTCCTTGATATCTTCTTTGATTGATTTTGTATTTGGTACTACATCGTTAAGTGTTTCGACAACTAGGTTTTGTTTATTTCTGTTCGCTTGTGTCCATCTCTGCGGCGATGTGGCCGCTGGCTCCGTGTTCGGCGCAGGATTGCTCATAGGGGCATTTTCTTCTGGTTTCGTTTGTTCCTTGGTGTCATTCACTTTACCGAACTCCATATTGACGTCGTAATACATTGGGGACTCGTCGCATGAAATCGCGTCACGTGGTCTCGTACATGTTAGTACTTCCTGTTACATTAATAAGTGGTTAATTTACTTTAAGTAACCGATTTTAATTAAGAGTACACTTAAAAAGCGGACGCACACTTTTGACTAAAATATCTCACAACTGTTGTGTTTTGCGGCCAATTCAACTGTTTAGTTGCACAACTAAAAATCGAGTAGTGTGCGCAACTCCATATAAGCTCAAAGGAATCAAAGCGCGATTAAATAGTTATGCGATAGTTTATTCAAAGGTGTGCGCGCTCTAAATCTTATCAAAACAAATAAGAGTATCTGGAATTCAACTTTATACTGTAGCATATCGCGACTTACTTGGTTGAAGACAGTTTCAGCTGGACAGATGAAACTCCAGCGGAAGGTGACGTTCCTGCCGGTGACGGCCTGCGAGGGAAGGCACACGTGGAACACCTGGCACTCGTTGTCCACATCCGCGTAGTAGCCGTACGTGCGGTTCTCACAACTGGAAAGATTTACATCTCGCATTGTTGTGGTTGAACACGAAATCAATAAAGTTAGCAAAGGAAGTGAAAGAGAAGCAGAATATAGAATATAGACAGAACTGACTGTCTGACTAAGTGTAAGTCTTTCAATTAGATACGTGACTAATAATTACCTGAAGGTATCAGTAATATTCTCTCGTATGGAGGTCGCGTTTGAGGGCAGGTTCAGCGTATCCGCTTTCGTCTGGTTCACCATCTCCTGTTACAACAGATTCAAATTTTATTTTAAAGTAAATAAAGCCGGCTAGCCACATTGAAATGCCACCAGTTTTTTTTTATATCATAAAGTGGCAAACAAGCAAGAGGCTATAGCAAAGTTTAAAATCCAGAGTAATGTGAAATCATTTTATTTGAAGCAGAGTTATTAAAATTTATCAAGTTTTTTTAGTATTTGTTAGCATAGTGCTAACAAATACTAAAAAACCTTGATTAATTTTTGGTTGTTACCTAGCATCATCAGGGATTGTGTTCGAAAAGTCGTCAGTACAATTGAGTATCTAACGCTAAGTATGCGCACACCTCTGACTGAATTATCGTACAATTGTTTAGTCGCGCTTTGAATCCTATGGGTTTACAAAACACTATCTTTAGTCGTGCAACTAAACAGTTGAATTGGCTGCGAAACAATTGACAATCGCACATTTGTCCGAAAGGTGTACGCTCCAACTGCATAATACTTATTTATTTCTCATTTTTTCAAAGGACAAGATAAATAAATCTATTATCCCGACACTTCGGACTCTGGATACATATTAATGCATCGAACCGGATTTAAAAGTAAAACTATATTTTATAAAGTAAAGAAGTGCAGTCAGTCTGCGGTCAGCCCACCGTATACAAGACACAAACCTGACAGGCGGGAATCTGGCATCAAGTTCACATTTAAATGTTGATCGTGAAAATATCAATCCATCAGTAAAAAATAAGATCTTTACAATAAAAATTTAAACAGTCTTTTAAATATATTTTAGTTTAAACATGTGTTAATTATTACACGATATAAATTAATTACTATATAGAAATCAAACTATTAGAGATAGTAGATATAAATGCTAAAGTTTAGATGAATGTTAGAGTTTGTAGCTTAAACTTCTGAACAGATCTCGATGAAACTTGGCAAAGATGTAGAGGATAGTCTGGAAGAACACATAAGCTATTTACTTTAGTTAGGCTGAAAAGCAGCGCGGCATTCAGTGATAAACTGGAGACCGCATCATCTGAGCCTTCTCCTTTTGGACAAGATTTTTTTAATTTTTCTTTCATTAAAATGTTTTGTAAGTTTTTTTTTGGTAATTAAACAGTGTTTTTATTTTATTTTTTAATCTCACGTGGAATTAGCCGCGGGCGACAGCTAATAATAGAGATGGCCTTAGAAAGTCGAGATAAGACATTATAAGATAAAGATTTTAACTCTATATTGTACATTTAAAAACAAAAAAAATTAACAACAAAATAACATCGTTGAATATCAGATATTTTCAAGACAAGGTCAAATTCGTTGCAATATATTAAAGTGGATAAGAATCTTTGTCGCATTTTACATGAATTTGTACAAAGTGCGAGTGACGGCACGTTTTGAGTTGCAAAGCGCGTGCAGGGATTTGTATCGGAGATTCAATCGAAGGATGTTTCCACACTACGCTGTATTTCAATTATTTCCTGCAATCATTGATTGTTTTTCAATCAAATGACTCTATTACACTAATTCTGAAGAGATAATCCATTCGTTTCTACATTTGCAATTATGTAGTTATCTGTTTTATCGAACATTTGAATGGATGTTTTACTTGTTTTTATGATTATCATTGTTAATATTTTTATATGTATCTCCAGCCATTGCAATCTAACGTAAAATATGATCAAAGTTTGAAATCAACAATATTCCTACTTAATCCAGCAAGCCAGCGTAACGGGTGGGGTTCACCTGTAATGACATATATTTATTTCGGGGCCGCACCCTTGTCCCGTCATCAATCCTCAATTGTAACAATTTCTAAAACACTTCTACCACAACATGACAGCTTAAATTACACAGTACTCTTTAATAAGATATCCTTCTTGCTACCACGTGCTACCGCTTCCATAAGAAAAGTAAAACCCAAATTATAATCTTTAGTCTCCATAATACCTATTACTGTTTTGTAATTAATGAAAATTTACTACATTCTTGCATACAACTTACCCTCAGCATCTTGACAAGCAGTCCACTCTGCAACTCCAGCTCGATGTCGTCAGCCAGCACGGCCGCGGCCGCCGCGTATGCCACCACACACCATAACAACGCCTTCATCATACACCTGTATATCACTATATTATTACCTGAATCTTTCACATATTTACATCCATATAACAGTTATTCTAATTGATTGATAATATTGAATTACTAATTATTACGTCAGAAATGCATTTTTCTAACAAATAATTACAAGAAATTGTATACGATTGTTATTATATGTAAATGCAATGAGAAATAAAAACTTTACAAACGTCTTCACTAACGCAGGTTCCCGCCAAAAAATGTAACAGTTAATAAACAAAAATCTTACACAATTTACAAAGTAAAACAATACATTTTGCAAGATTAGAATAAATATGCAAACACTTGTGGCATTTTCATAAAAAAAATAAGGAAAACTTGAAAATGGAACATAAAGCTGAAAAATATTAATAAAGCGTACACCTAAAACATTTTGACTTTTTTAAATTAAATATAAAATCAATATATCTCACCGATTAAAAAAGTATAATTAAAAAATTAAAAAAATAAAATAACACTGGCAACACTCTAGGAAGCACAACAACGTTCACCGGACAGCGAGAGCGTTCGCAAAAAACGTAGGAATGTGAAAATTTTCATTGTATTTCGAGCTTTTATAAACGATAGCCGGGACTCGCCGCCTCGCGGAATCCGCAATGAGGACCCCGGAGCGTCAGCAACATCCATATTTGTTTTTCAACATTTTTATTACCTACAATAACCCAAAACATATAGATAAGTAGAAAACTGGTTACAATTTGATATTTTCGTAATTGTATTCATTAATCAATCTGATTTCTTACTAATTTAAATATTGTAATTGCGAAAGTTTAGATGGATGGATGGATGTTTAGAATTTTCTGCCTAAACAGCGGATTTGATCTCGATGTAACTTGACATAGATGTAGAGTACATTCTAGAAGAACACAGGCTACTAAATACCTCGCGAAAGGAGTCGCGGGTGAAAGCTTGTTATAAACATTTTTTGTTTTTAAATATATTCGTCGGGTAAATCCTAAAAACCATAGTTCAGTTCAGTTGTTTATTTGTTCCAATGATTTATGATCACAAATTCATCATGCAATGATACATTTTATGTAAACCAATACAGAAAACGATTTTTGCTGCTGACTGTACCGCGGTTCTCTGGCGGGCCGCGAGGGATGTGACCCGAAATACTAATGTGCTTAAATTCTGTCGCAGCAACAACCTTGACTTTAAGCTTGTGCCCCCTGCGGCCTCCTCGCCCCTCGGCGCCCTTCCGCGCCCCCTCGCCCCCGCGCCCCCTCACAAATAATCTTTTTATTATAACCAATAATGTTTTAGTTAATAACTGTATTCAATTTAACGACACGTGTAAAATTACATTCCAAATTGTTTTCTTGGAAATTGAATAACCAACATGCAACAATGAAGATCGTGTATAGTTTAGACTAATGGACAACAATATAATTTACATCCGTATGTATATACGAGTTTTACAAGTAGCAAGATCTACGCAATGTGAAAGAGTCTAAAGGGGTGCTACTCTTACATTTACCTACGCTTAAGTGCAGTATTTAATTTAACTACTAGTTATTTTTGCCGATTGAAAAGTTTTTTTTCACAACTCAGTGAATCACTTACTCTACACAAGAATTGTAAAATAGACACACGAATAAAAGCTATAAAAATAAATATTGATTCAACGAATTAGAATAAACCGTTCATGTTACATGCGTCATACATTTTTCCTCGTTTCAGTCAAAACATTAAAACCACCAATAAATCCCAAAAACCCGATAATCCCAGTAACAGTACTAAGGTCTAACTGTAGCGGTGTGGCCTACAAACACGAGCTGAATTACTAAATATGGCAACTTTGATGCCCAGACGATTTATTGCGCGGGTTTATGACTCGCCGACGATAAGCACAAGGGGCCCGTAAACTTAAAAGCAATTTAATATCAACAGCATGCAATAATAAATTGGAATGATTCAAATGGAATAATAAAAATACTAATTATATTATAAATAATTTCCGTCATTCAAGAAGAAAGTAATTTTATTGTCCCTAACTTACTGTTTTGAAATATTAACGCGTAGGCATGTTTGACGGTACGACGAATGACGCAGTACTTAATATTGTAGCCAATTTCTACGTGACCGAATGGATTGAGTTGACGGGAAGTATAGACTTTCGTTACTACGTATCTACAAAATGTTTAACTAATCTCACCAAAACTTGACACAGATAGATAATCTGGAAAAACACATAGGGAACAAATACACATATGTCCTTTTCATTTTATGCAGACAAAGTCGTGGGCAGAAGCTTCAATTTTTTATGATATTTCCATGAATCTCGTTGAATTCTAAATCCCGTTGTTCGTCGCGACGAAGGTAAAAGCATCGAGACGAGACTACAATCAGAAGTTATCATTTGAGCAGATCGTCTGAGACGCGGCAACGCTACCTTTGACACTACGAACAAGCTTGTAGACATTACTAATACACGATTATTTAAAGAAATTAAATCAGTTTTTCTTAAAATCGATGATACAATTCGAAAATGCGAATCTTTTAAAAAGAAACAATAGGATTTGGACGGAATGGAATGTATTTCTACGGAAATAGAATCTGCTAAAAATTTTGTACACTTTTGTGTACTTTGTTTTGTAGTTTTCGGTTGTTCTTTCGTTGCGTTGGTCGAGTCGTCCAAATTAAGGACACGGTTACGTAGGAAACAAAACAGGCATTGTGATTAGATATAAGAAAAATGTGTTCGAATAATTTCGGTGACATTGATAAGATAGATATTACTTTGCAAGAGAATAAAACGTTTATCCAAAAGTACTTAAATTTTTAAATAATAATTTCCTTGCAAGTCAATTTTACATATAAATTACCATGAAGGATTTGTTTGTGACTGGAATGACGCAGCCAAATCAACTCAAAAACAACGAAGTCAATGGCTTACCACCTGCACCCCGCGCACCTCGCCCCTCCCAATGGAACTTGCGGAATTTTTAATAAGCTCATTTGAAATATTTGTAATGGCATCAGCACACAGAGCACGCGCCGAAATAGTTTGAAGGTATTATATCGTGGATGTCTGGGATTCGCACGGGGTCAACCACCTCGCCGGTCCTACCTACTGCCATCTATGACCGCTCACACCCTCAGTCACGTCTCGCCTTACTGTGTCAACGATGATAGCTGCAGCGCAGATTGTACCGCCCGCCTTCGCACCGTCTGAATACACGCTCAGGTCCTACTTTAAGTAGTATCACGGGAAAGTGTATAGCGGGGAATTCAATTTTTTTTAAAGTTTATCCTTCTGTCTTTTACGCGCCACTACTAAAATACATCTTTTTCAGTTCTATATAATAACATCAACAAGTTTTATTTACAACGAGGTCATTAAGCCAAGCAAAAGACGGATATAAACGTAGTTAATTTATTGTTCAGAAAGAAACTACTCACTTTAATCGTTTCAGGAAAATGCCACTCTACATATGAAAGTGATCGAGTTACGCTACTGTTAGAGGAAACATACGGTGTTGCAGCAAAACTGAAACCTAGTGAAACATAAAACGGATAGCTTTGAGCCTTGACCTTAGTGAAAAGTGAACATCGACCAAAGAGTAGAGCTAGAGATAAAGTAGCCGACGGCGGTCGGGCGCGAGATCCGAAAATCTTAAAGTTGTGTAATAGTGTTTACGGAGGTCGTTGGCACAGCTCGCTTGGCTTTCGTATGCCAGATGTGTCCGCCGATTGCTATTCCGCATGAATCTAAATATGCATTTATCGCACTTTGTAGTAATAAATAGATTTAACTATAAATGCCTTCAGCTAGCTTGGCAGTCGGCCTTTACCAACATAATCGCTGTATGCTGTATATTTATAGCGTCGTTTTGGGATAGCTTCAACCACTCCCGTTTCCTTAAAACTAACCATCTTCGTTGATTTATCCCACGAGCGAGCTGATCATTTTCGCTTCATTTTAACAGCAGGCCGCCTGCTTTTCGCTATTCTTATTTGAATTTCTTTAGAAATCCAACAGGAACAAAAATGCTGGTTAATAACTAATAATTACGTTTTATGATGCAATTGTAATCTTAGAAAAGCCTCTGCAATGCTCAACTAGTGTTTTCAATCTTCATATTAAATTATCACTTAACGACGGATAACATTGTGCCTATACGAGTATACTGGTTTATTCATCATTAATGTCTAAATTCCGATAAACGTCTCAGTTGATTCAAGTGGATTACCAACTTTTACAATCGATTTTTTTATAATATAAGGTGGCAAACGAGCAAGCGGCCACCTTAATCCACCAAAATGGAAAGCGACCGCTGCCCATAAACATCCGCAATTGCAGATGCGTTGCTTACCCTTAACGAAGGAGGAAACGCACATAAAGAGGACATTTCCCCTTCCTATGTGAATAAATGTAAACTAGTACCATCGTTTTTATCATCTTTATTTATATTTACAGAAAATATACAATTTATCATCCCTTACATTTTTTACGT